GTATAGTAATCAATAAGCTATGTGGTTTACTAATATACTTCGTATATAACTTCATATAAATTAAATTTTTATGTTATTATAATTTATAAGTGAGAACTTTCAATTTTTTTCGTGACACCCCGAAACGAAATTTGAAGGGATGTAACTCAGTTTGGTAGCGCTTTTGTTTTGGGTACAAAATGTCACAGTTTCAAATCATGTGATCCCAATTTTATTATAAAATCCACCGTCCCATATGTGTTCGTATCATATTTCGGATATAAGCTTGATCTCATACTTACTTCTTTGCGATGAGCCGATGAATGTACATATTTTACCTGGAAAGTCAAATTTTGGGTAGCGTAATTGAATTAGCTTTGAAGTTTGTAGTTTATCATTGTAAGAAAAATGAAAAGATGAACACAAAATGGAAGTTATATTTGAAGTTCATTATGCAGGAAAAATAATGTTGTATTAATCCTAACAGCCAAAAACAGACAAGAATCTGTGAAAAGAGCTGTGTACTAGGAAGCATTCCTGCCCAAAAACCTATTTGCTAAGAACTAAACTACGGTATCTATCCACAGTCTCTATAGTCTATAGATCAACTTGAGCTAGCTTGAAGCATGTCAAGGAAAGTAGCCACTGGAAAAGGTATTGTGAGTCCTCCCATAGGATGATCAAATCCGAATTCCTCCTCAGCTTGACTGAGCAAATCCTGGAATGATGAGTCCTTCAAGTATGATATCGGAAGGACAAAACGCTTCTTTTCTTCCTCGCCTACATAAACTGCAAAGTGACCCTTAGGAACTTCAATTTCTGTGTTTGTTCTTGAAGAAGACCTCCTCAGGCTTGGCTTCGTTGCACGCAAAATTTTTGCCATACTAACCGCCATGCTTGAATGTTTCTTGATTTTTTTTAGCTAGAGGAAATTATTTGCAGATGTAAACTCTTTTAGGAGATGTGTGAAGGTCAGATATTGAGTTGGGGAAGTACCTAGTTACATTGATGTTATATAGATCCACTGGGAGGAGGATTGAGTGTCACATGGAAAGGCTGCCAGGAGTGCCATCTTTCAAGACATCAACTAATGGTTTTGTCTTTCCAAAAAAAATCAACAAAATGGATTGTCTTTAGACATTACTGCCCACATGCTTTAATGAATCTTGAACAGATGTGGATATCTTAACCACTTCTTTCTTTACAATATAGCCTACCAATTAGTTTAAGCTTGATTTTTTATTAGAAAACAAACCATGTGATTTCACATTCTGAGGTTTTAATTTATGAAAAACTCCATATTTTATAGGTTTCTGTTAAAATCTGAAAGGGTGCACCACCAACCGTTATGTGGCACTGCACATGGTTTTGCCTTTTCCCTACATAGCTTAAATAACTTTGTTGCATATGCTTTTTCATGTCCAAGGTTGGAATATATATCTGGAAATGTGCCATGTTTACTCATAGAATTAAGTGGTGTAAACAAGTTTTCTAGGCTATTATGCTCATAGCTTCACATAACTCTCAATTGTTTTTCGTTTCAATTTATTCAAATATGGCAGAAAGTACTGATCGTTTAACTGAGACATTACCACACATAAAAATTAATAATTTCTACTTCCTCAATGATAGTATATAACTGCACATCCTCTTGCAGTCTACACAGAATGCGATAATCACCCAAACCTTCGAATCTTTGCTAAATCTGAATAACCAATTACAAAGTCAAGATTAGACCATGAAGAAATTAGCTCAGGGTTAAGTGATCATAAAATCATTCAAAATGTGCATCAAAAGATGTTTCATAACATAACTCCTCTAAGCTGATATGCATGCAGTTTTTCAGATTCTACATGTCCTTTTGTAATCAGGATAGAACAATAAAAGAGAAAAAAAGACTTCATTTGTGCAGGTAAACTCTTCTCTTTTATTAACATTCTTTCCCACTTAACTGAGCTGTGGGTACAGTCTCTCAAGGTCTACTACGTACTCAAACTGGAGATGACTCAAATGCAAATTTTTTATCATCTTGAGATAGCAAGTCGTCGAATGAGTGATCCTACAAGTATGATACCGGAATGACAAAGCACTTCATTTCTCTTATGCCCACGTAAACTACAAAGTGCCTATTATTAACCGATTGTGGTGAATACGGTTGAATGTAATTATATGTATACATATATATCAGCTATAGAAACAAATGTGGTGAATATGCATGCCGGCTGAAATGTGTTTGCATATAAATCCCATAAGATGTGAGTTGGGCGTTGGCTAAAAGAAATTGGATGGGAGGGGTAGCTATATATTAGGAGAGTATGAGTGTATGACTGGGAGTGTAGTTCCCATTTCCAATACATAGTAAATGTGGTTTTTAAATAACCTTCAATAAGATATTGATTTACTGCATGTGTGTCATTTCAGTTAAGTTCCAAAGCTAATTTTTATTAACAATGATGTGAAGTTTTTTCTTTGCAACTAAAAATGAATAAATGAACACTTGTTTCATTTAAACTTTTTCTCATTCAAGTTTTTGGTGAACGAATATATTCCAGAATATTGTCGGTAGTAGATTCACAGATTACTTACTGTGTTGTGAGTAACAAGACAAATCAGAAAAACCTCCAAAACAAATTGGTAGATGTAGAATGAATTTTTAGTATATTCTCTAAATAATCCTCACAAAAAATATCTTCCTGCCTGAAAGAATTGTTCACTAAACTAAACTAAGTCATCTCTATCTCTATTTCAACAAAGATGATTAACTCGAGCTAGAGATGATCTGAAGGAAAGTAGCTTCCGGGCAAGGTATTGTGAGTCCTCCCATAGGATGATCAAATCCAAATTCTTCCTCAGCCTGACTAAGCAAGTCTTGGAATGTCGATTCGTTCAAGTATGATATCGGAAGGACAAAACGCTTCTTTTCACCTTCACCAACATACACTGCAAAGTGACCCTTAGGCACCTCAATTTCTCTGTTTGTTCTTGAAGAATACCTCCTCAGGCATGGTTTAGTAGCACGCAAAATTTTGGCCATACTAACTGCCATGGTTGAATGTTATGGTTTTAGCTGTAGGAAACTATTTGCAGAAGCTAGTTCTTTTAGGAATTGTGTGAAGAAGTTGTTTGGAGTGGGGAGAATATGAAATTCAGTTGTGGTTATATAGATATAGCCATTGAGAGGGGGATTGAGCGAGTGGTTCAGATAAATTTACATGGAAGGCCAGCCACCTTGCAAAGATAAGAGACACCAACAGCTGGTTTTGTCTTCCAAAAAATAATACGTAGTAACATATTTTAGTGCACTAAAAATCGTCTGTATTTAAACATCATTCCCCACATGCTTCAATGGATCTTATGTAGATGGGGATATAATAACAACCTCTGTCTCTACAAGAAAGCCTAAGTATTAATTTGAATCTGTAGATTATTAGGGAAATCAATGTGATTTCACATTGTATGGTTTTATTATACGGAAAAACTCCACACCAACCAGTAGGTGGCACATGGTTTTGCCTACTTCCTCAATATGCTAAATAGATCACTTCCATGTGCTTTGTCATTGACAAGGTTGGGAAATCCTGAAATGCACCTTGTTAAATAGATCACTTCCTCAATAGTAATCAAGTTTTGTAGCAAATTGATTCTTGTGAAATCTAAAGAAATCCAATGACTTCATCATCATCTTCATTATTTATTTATTTATTTGATTCCATTACTCAACATACACACATTCAACTATGTGAAAATTTCAAGTACCATCATTCCATTTGCTGTCACTAGTATCAGCTATACAGTTTTTAGAAACTATATATACAATAACTTGTTAAGTGTCATTTTGTCCGTAATTGCTCATCTTTTTTCAATTCGAGAAGATCCAACTTGTAAGCCCAGATCTTGTGATAAAGGTAGGTATGTGATAAGGATATATAGTTAACTTTTGTAAAAATGTTAAATTAACGTGATTATCAGTGTTATCCGGTCTCTGAAATATAAGATGTTCATTCTTATACTTCAAAGGATTGTTTAAGGTCTAGATATAGCTACTACTAGGGCTAACTACAAAGTGTGAGCAGAGCCCAATACATAGCCATTTACAACCTTACTCGTTTCTTGAAAAATCTCCATTGTTTAAACATTATTTGGGGGGCTGATTGAGAGATTATCAGACATTTAAAAATAATTAAAATATTCACTGTTCTTTATTCTACCATACAAGTGCACACCCTCTTTCAGTGTATTCAGAATTTTATAATCACAAAAATCTTAATAGCTTTGCTTAATTGGAGCACCACATTACTGTGAAGGAGCTATTAGATCACGAATACATTAGCTCAGGATCAAGTGACAGTTACTTAGAATTTCATTCATTATGTTCAACAAAATTTCTATATTAATATATGAATTTTTTAACATTTGTGACATGAAAATTCATGTTTGAAAACATTAACCTCACTAAACGAACTTGTCTGCAGTCTCTCAAAACTTGTACTCCATGCTCATTTCTTTCATCAGGTGCCAAATGCAATATCATTTCTGTAGATTTGTAGAGGAGAACTCATCGTATTTGTAACAAAATTTTACCACAAAACTTAGCTGCTGGCGGAGTCCCTTAGTGACTGCTACTCAAACTGGAGAGGATGTGAAGAGCCTCATTTCTCAATTTGTTCTTGAAGAACTCCTTCTGAGGCCTTTTTAGCATGGATAATGTGCCTAATACCCATTCCCATTTCAAATGATCCTTCATAAAGTAGACGGAGTATCTAACAAATAGAAAAAACAAATGTGATTTTTGAATTACTTTCCATCAGACATATTTATACACTTGTAGCAGAACAGGATGGTGAGGACTTCAAAGGCCCCCTCAATTTGTGATTTAAAGTAAGCTCCAAAGTTCATATTTATAGCTTTGCAACAGAAATGTACAAATTATGTTTCGAAAGGAATTAAAAAACATTATTATAAAATATCAACGGCTTATCAATCAAGTTTTTCTTTGATGAATAATTGAATATATTCCTCCCCCAAGATTTTAATTACAAGAGAGTGCTCCATCAATTGTCTGTACTAGCTTTAGTTACTGTGTTGTGAGTAACATGACAAATCAGAATAAGTTCCAACGTATTGAAGTTATATTATACGAAGTATTCTGTATTTCGACTGTACAAGGTAACTCTTATACCCAAAAAGAATTGTTCACTAAACTAAACTATTCCATCTCTATCTGTATTCTATGATAATGATCAAATCGAGCTAGAGATGATGTCAAGAAAAGTAGCCTCGGGACAGGGTATTGTGAGTCCTCCCATTGGATGATCAAATCCAAATTCTTCCTCAGCTTGACTGAGCAAATCTTGGAATGAAGAGTCGTTCAAGTACGATATCGGAAGGACAAACCGCTTCTTTTCACCCTCACCAACATAAACTGCAAAGTGACCCTTAGGAACCTCACTTTCTTTGTGAGTTCTTGAAGAGGACCTCCTGAGGCTGGGCTTAGTAGCACGCAGAATTTTTGTCATACTCACAGCCATGGTTGAATGTGTTTTAATTTCTTTACCTGTGGAAATCTTTGTGTAGATAGATTCTTTTAGGAATTGTGTGAAGAAGGTATTTTGAGTTGGGGACAATACCAAACCCTGGAGTGCTTATATAGATAAATCCATGTGTATAATATCCTAACCACTAATGTCCTTACGTTTAAGCCAACCTGTCAGTTTGAATCCCTAAGCTATTAGCCTATTACAAAACAAAACCATGTGATTTCACATTGTATGTTTGTAGTTTATGGAAATATTTCAGACTCCAAAGGTTCATGATGGATGGTGAAAGGCTCCACCAAACAGCTAGTGCTTTGAGGTTGGTATGACTGAGACATTACCACATGGTATTGCCAAAAAGCATTATTTCCTACATGGTTCTGTGAAATTGAATAAATGGTGATAGCTCAACTAGTAGGAGACCTGTCAAATGTCTGAGGAAGATGAATGGTAATATCCCAGGAAAATATATCAACTTGTAAGGAAACATACCTTGTGATTCCTAATTTGTATGTGCCTGGAAAAGGCCACACTTCAGATCATACTCCCTCCGTAACATCCATATCTTCCCACTTTCCTTTTTTGGACGTAACATTTATATCTTCTCATTTCTAAATCTTCCCATCATACCCTCAATAATTTAAAAAATAATACACTACCACACCTACTTTTTTTGGATTTATCCTTCATTCCATCACATTATTTCACCATCTTCCCATCATACCCTCAATAATTCATACCCCATTTCACTATTCTTAATCTCACCCACTTTGGAAGTGAGAAGATATATGTGATACGGAGGGAGTATGTTTTTCTGATTGGCCAAGTGGCCCCCATATGTCTAGTTTGCACATGGTTTTGCCTTCCCTGATTTCACAAGTCCACTGCAACCGGCTCAAGGCTAAACACTTAAATAGATAACTTCCTTCGGCAATCTGTTCATCAACCACTGCAAAATCCAGTCCGGTCAAAATATGTGTGTGGCTTCTGCTGATCTTGCTCGATACCATATCAGTTCGAAGAGGTTTGTTGCTTCTGAATGAACAGGATAGCATTCCCAGGACTAGAGCTATAACGGGAAAGTTAGCTATCCTATTGAATTTGTCCGAAAAATGCATTGTTTCTTTACTGAGCCATTTCAGACAGCTATTACTCCTTTCCCTGGGAAGAATCCATGAAGGCAGGAAGTTATCTGCTAATTAAATGGGGACCAATGCTCGTAATTATACTCGGGTATAAAAATGGGAATCAAGCAAATAAGCTCAAGAGAAGAAGAGAATCTTCCTCGTTCTTCTATATGAAATTGGCTCAGGGCTGCCCTCATAAAATTTGGATAATTCACTTGAAAGCACAAAATTTTGTTTGTTTCAGCATCATGGAGGTTTTTAAAGATTCAAACTTTTGGATCAATATCAGTGATAGTTTATCACACTACAGATATGGTTTGACTTCCTTTGACAGAGCTAAATGGAAACCGCATTGTAGAGTTAGAGCTGACAACACAGGTGATATACTAATTCATTGGGCAGCCACCGTAGAGGTAAATCTGCTAAAAGCATGACCAGAAACAATATTGCAGGAGTCAAGGGCAGTTTTCTTCTTACAAATACATACATTACGTAATGGAAGTTTCTCTTTGAGATCTTCTAGAATCTTGGTAAGAAACAGTAAAGATCTCAGAAATAAGCTCTCAACAAATGATATTACCATTGTCATACGTGCCACACCTAGGTGTTGAGCCTGTTAAATCTGCTCAAAGAAACTGGAGGTAATTTTCTGATTCATTGGGTCTTAAAAATCATAACCAAGAAGTTGTATCTCATTCTTATACATTGTATAATTTTATCTTCAGACGTGTATCTTTGAAAAACGTATGCTATCCCAAAGTAGGGAAAGTGAGATTAACTTTTACATGGGTTCTTGATGGCTTAATGCTTGCCTTGCTCGCGAGATAGTGGTGGAATTTAAGAACAAAAAGGAATAGTATGGAATGACTAAATGAAGGCCATATAGTGTGAAGGGTCTAAGTGCTATTGGAAAAATTCTCAGATTGAGTCAATTGCTAATGGACATCCAAAAACAACATAAGTGCAAAAGAAATCGTATCCACAACATGTATTGGGAGTTTATAGTCCATTTATTGGATGATCAAATCCCATATTACTTATTCCTCAGAAAATCTCTGAATAGAGGGCCTTCAAAGTATGACGTCGACCACACCCACAACAACTGCTACCTGATTCATCTTATTTTGCACCTTCTTATGTTTCATCGTTCCTAGCGTTTTTCTGTTTGTCTATATTTCTACCTTATCCAAAATCCCAAAAAGGGGATCCAACGTAATCAACAATTCAAAACCTTCTTCATTAAGGCTTCTGGACTCGTCGTTGACAAAAACTATAAAAGTTTGTGCACGGCTATTGCGTCTTTAGCCTTGTTCTTGAACGCTAATCAAGATGTGGAAAAGTTAAGCACTTGAACAGATTATTTTTTTCTTCTTCAAATTTTTTTCCCATTTAACTTACCTATTAAATAGAAATAAAAATGGATTATCGAATTTTACGTGTAGCCGTCTCTCAAATATGTTGTTCCCTTGATGAGAAAGTCTCTCAAATATATTGTTCCCTTGATGAGAAACGTGACAGGATTTAGCTTCAAGCCTGGTATATTTTGTTCCCTCTTTAGAAACAACACAGTGACTACCCTATTGGAACTTCAGGGAAGAATATTTATGAAGATGGTTGTAGAATGAAAATGGTGTATAAGTCCCAACTACCACATTCATCAGCACTTTCACTGGCAACAACCCCATTGCCAGCTTTAATTGATAGAAAAACATCCCACTCCCCATTGTTCAAGACTTGAGTTAGAAGAACTTTCCATCTATTGTTTGTAACTTTGTATTAGGTTCACTTATTGTGTTGTGAGTATCATGACAAATCAGAAAAACCCCCAAAGAAAATTGATAGATGTTACATCTAAGATGTAGCATCAAGTTTAAGTATATTCTCCAAGTAATCCGTACAAGATAAATTTTCCTGCCAAAAATAATTGTTCACTAAACTAAACTAAACTAAGTCATCTCTATATGTATTTCTATAATGATGATTAACTCGAGCTAGATATGATATCAAGGAAAGTAGCTTCTGGACAAGGTATTGTGAGTCCTCCCATAGGATGATCAAATCCGAATTCTTCCTCAGCCTGACTAAGCAAGTCTTGGAATGTTGAGTCGTTCAAGTATGATATCGGAAGGACAAAACGCTTCTTTTCACCTTCACCAACATAAACTGCAAAGTGACCTTTAGGAACCTCACTTTCTCTGTTTGTTCTTGAAAAAGACCTCCTCAGGCTTGGTTTAGTAGCACGCAGAATTTTGGCCATACTAACTGCCATGGTTGAATGTTTATGATTTTAGCTAAGAAAACTATTTGCTGAAGCTCGTTCTTTTAGAAATTGTGTGAAGAAGTTGTTTGGAGTGAGGAGAATATCAAATTCAGTTGTGATTATATAGATATTGCCATTGAGAGGGGGATTGAGTGAGTGGCTCAGAAAAGTTTACATGGAAGGCCAGCTACCTTGCAAAGATAAGAGACCTACAGCTGGTTTTGTCTTGCCAAAAAAATATAACATACTGGTACACTTAAAATGGTCTGTATTTGGACATCATTCCCCACATGCCTCAATGAATCTTCCGTTTCTACAAATTAGTTTGAAACCGTAGATTTTTAGGGGGGAAACCATGTGATTTCACATTTATAGTTTTACTATACGGAAGAACTCCATATTCCATAGGTTTTTTGTTGAAGCTGAAAGAGGCCACACCAACCAGTAGGTGGCACATGGTTTTGCCTACTTCCTCATTATCTTAAATAGATCACTTCCATGTGCATTGTCATCCACAAGGTTGGGAAATCCTGAAATGCATCTTGTTTACTGATAGTATCATAGTAGTAATGCAGTATAGTAAACAAGTTTTGTAGCAAATTGACTCTTGTGAAATTTAAAGAAATCAAATGGCTTCATCATTATTATTATATATTTGAATTCATTACTACAGAGTAAACTATGTGAATCTTTTAAGTAGGTCATCCCTTGAGTGTTTTGATTCTATTTGGTTTTACTAGTATTAGTGATAGAGTTTTTAGGAAATATATAGACAATCGCTTGTTTAGTACCATTTTGTCGGTAACCAAAATACACAGCTCGACTCATCTTCTTTCTATCCCAAAAGATCTAAATTGTAAGTAAGCTCATGTATTGTGATAAAGGTATGTATGTGAATAGGATATATAGTAAACCTCTAGAAAAGTGTGAAATTAATGTGACTACAAGTGTTATCTGATCTCTGAAATATAAGACTTCAAAATTATTATCGTCATACATCCAAGGATTAAATAAGGCCTATTTATCGCAGCAACTAGGACTAACTACATATCGTGAGAAAAGCCCAATACACAGGGTCACAAGCCCATTTATAACCTTACTCGAGTATTGAAGAACCTTCATTGTTCAAACATTATTTGGGAGGCGGATTGAGACATTATCAGGATTTTAAGAATAATTGTAATTTTGACTTCTCCATTTTACTTTACAAGCACAGCCCTCTTGCAGTGTATTCAGTTCTGATAATCTTAGCACCAAATTATTGTGTTGTAGGCTAGTAGCTATTCGATCAGGAATAAATTAGCACAGGATGAAGTGATTATTACTTAGAATTTAATTCACTATTTCCAACGAAAGTTCTATATTAATATGTGAATATTTGAACATTTAAGATTACAACAAAGTCATTTTTCAAAACTTCAACCTCACTAAACCAACTTGTCAGCAGTTGCTCAAAATTTGTATGTGTTATACTGGTCAAATAACTATATAAAAAGAATTAAAACATCTGTAGATTTGTAGAAGAGAATTAGTCTTATTTCTAACAAATTTTACCACAAACTTGAGCTGCTGGAACAGTCACTTAGGTTCTGCTACTCTAACTGGAGATGACATTCACTTTGTCTAACTATTCTTGAAAAACACCTTCTAAGGCCTTTTCTAGTATGAATAATGTGCCCCTTACCAATTCATATGTCAAATGATTCTTCTTAAAGTAGAGGGAGTATCTAACAAAAGGAGAAAACTAATGTGATTTTGAATAACAATCCATTAGACATTCATTGACTGTAGCAGAAGCAGCAAGGCCCTGACTTAAAAGGCCCCTTCAATGTGTGATTAAAGATAAGCTCCAAAGTTTATATTTATCGCTTAAGCCTTTCAAAGGTACAGATTTTCTTTGAAAAAGGGAAAGAATTAAAAAACATCATTATAGAATATTCTCCCGAAACAGTCTCTCTGTGCTTTAGTACAGGGGTAAGACTGCGTACATCCGACCGTAGGTGGGAGCCTTTGCGGCACTGGGGTAAATGAAAATGAAAATAAAATGATAGAATATTCTTTGACGAATATATTCCTCATCTGAAGACTTGAATTATAAGAAAATGCTCTGTCTATTTGTCTGCACTAGATACTGTAACTGTTCTGTGAGTAACAGAACAAATCAGGAAAAGTTACAAAGTAATGAAGTTATAGTATATTCTCTGTTTTCAATATCAACTGTACAAGGTAACTCTTATACCCAAAAAAAATTGTTCACTAAACTACTCTATGCCATCTCTATCTGTATTCTATAATAATGATCAAATCGAGCTAGAGATGATGTCAAGGAAAGTAGCCTCAGGACAAGGTATTGTGAGTCCTCCCATTGGATGATCAAATCCGAATTCTTCCTCAGCTTGACTGAGCAAATCTTGAAATGAAGAGTCGTTCAAGTATGATATCGGAAGGACAAATCGCTTCTTTTCACCCTCACCGACATAAACTGCAAAGTGACCCTTAGGAACCTCACTTTCTGTGTGATTTCTTGAAGATGACCTCCTGAGGCTGGGCTTAGTAGCACGTAGAAATTTTGTCATACTAATGGCCATGGTCGAATGTTTCTTTCTTTCTTTAGCTGTGGAAAACTATATGTAGATAGATGTAAGGAGTTGTGTGAAGAAGGTATTATGAGTTGGGGAGAATACCAAACTCAGTATGGCTTATATAGACAGATCCATTGGGAGGTTGGTTGAGTGAGTGGCTGAAAGATATAATGCCAGCCTTCTATGATAAGAAATGTCAACAACTGGTTTTAACAAAATAATAAGAGAACATGGCCTGTCTACACATCATTCCCTACATGCTATAATGAATCTGCAGTAGATGGGTTCTTCTTTACCCGATGATTCAATAAATCTTGAACAGATGGGCATATCCTAACCAATAATGTCTTTACAAGAAAGCCTACCTATTAGTTTGAACACCTAAATTATTTGGGAACAGACCATGTGATTTCACATTATGTGGTTGTAGTGTATGGAAAAACTCTAGATTCCATAGGTTCATGATGGATGGTGAAAGGATCCACAAATCAGCTAACTTTGAGGTTGTTATGACTGAGACATTACCACTTGGTATTGTCTATAAGCATTATTCCCTTACATGGTTCAGTGAAATTGAATAAATAGTGATACCTCAACTAGTAGGAGACATGTCAAATGTGTGGCGAAGATGAATGGTTATTTCCCAGAAAACTGTATGAATTGATTAAGAAACATACCTTGTGGTTCCTAATTTTTATGTTCCTGGAAAAGGCTACACTTCAGATCATATGTTTTTCTGATTGGCTAAGAGGCCCCATATGTCTACTTTTCACATGGTTTTGCCTTCCCTGATTTCACAACTGATTAAAGCTTCTCCTAGCCTCCTAAAATGTTAAATAGATCACTTCCTTCCGCAATCTGGTTGAGTTTTTCAGAAAAAATGCATTGCTCGTCTCAGTTAATTCATTCTGCTGTCCATCTTCATAATGCTTTTCTTCATATTATTAGCATTTGAATAGTGCTGGGGGGCTACTAAGTCATTTCAGAGAGCTATTACTGCTTTCCCTTGGAAGAGTCCATGAAGGCAGAAAGTTCATCTGATTAATGAAGCTTAATGATTGTAATTATACTGGGGGGTGGGGGGAATCCAGCAGAGAAGCTCAAGAAAAGTAGAGAATCGTCCTCTTTCTTCTTCCATATTATTGGCTCAGGCGCTGCCCTCAAGAAACTTGGATAGTTCATAAGAAAGCAGAAAACTTAGTTGCTTTCGGCATCATGGAGACGTTTAAATATTCAAGCTTTTGGATCACTATCAGTGATAGTCCATCCCATGAAGATGTGGTCTGACTTCATGGTGATTTATTAATTCACTGGGCAGCCACTGTAGAGTGTAGAGTCAAATTTGATGAAAGCGTGGTCAGGAACAATATTGCAGGAGTAAATGCAGATTTCTTTTCAGAAACAGATTCATTAGGTAATTGAAGGTATTCTTTCGGCTCTTCTAGGAACTTGGTAAGAAACTGTGAAAAATAGGCTCTCACCGATCATAATCATTATCGTTTTAGCCACACTTAATTTTAAGTCTGGTGAAACTGCTCAAAAGAACTGGAGGCACTTTTCTGATTAATTGGGTCTTAAACATCATAACCAAGGGGTTGTATACTTCTGGTCTTCTGCATTGTATACTTTTTTCTTCAGGTGGGTATCATTTTACTTTTTGGGACACAAGGAGCTCATAAAAACTCATGTTATCGCAAACTAGGGAAAAGATATTAACTTTTACATAGGTTCTTGATAGCATGATGCTTCTGTTGAAAGGAGATAGTGGTGGAAATCAAGAACAATAGGAGGGAACACTATGGACTGAGTACATAAATGCTACATATATTGTGTGAAGGGTCCATCCTGTTTCTAAGGTCTGGCAGCATTAGGGCTTTATCGTAACTGTACTTGCTGATGGAGAAAATCCAGATTGAGTAATGGAGAAATTCCCAATTGAGCAATTAGCTCATCGCTAATGGAGATCTAAATACAGCTTGAATGCAAAAACAAGGGCTGATTGGATGATCAAATCCCACATTATTTAATTCTCAGCAAATCTCTGAAGGGAGGGCCCTTCAAGTATGATGTTAGAACAATATAATGATGCAGAAACTAAGGCTGCTATGAAGGATGCTCTTGACGGGGGTGTACACAATTTTCAACCACAGATGTCAGGAATCTTTAGCTAGTTACATCAAAAGGAAATATGCACAAATCTTTACCAGTAGGTGGCACATCAGCCAAGATTTAAAGCTACTCTTCCATTCAATAACGGACTACGGAGTATATCTTAAGTTAACAAACAAAATGATTAGTTCCAAGAATCTCATCAAGCTTGCAAAAAGATGGCAGAAATTTGCTGCAATCAGAAGAAAGAGGATTTTGTTTCCAAAATTAACCGATGATGACATAGATTACTGCAGTAGTTCCTTTGCATTTAGCAAGGGTCATTTTTCCCTCTACACGGCTGATCAGAAGCTGTTTATAGTGCCTCTCTCTTATCTCGGGAATGAGATTATTAGGCAACTCCCAAACATGTCTAAAGAACCCGAGTGATGGGCCTTTAAACTACCATGTGACTGTGTCTTCATGGACTACATTTGTCTCACTTCTTAGCAAAGGCTTAACCAGAGAACTTGAAACTGCATTGCTCCTCTCAGTTACTTCATATTGGTGTTCCTCAGATTCACTACACCAACAAGAAGAATGGAGAAATCAGCATTTCCTTGTTTGCTGACAATTTACAGTAGTCAGTTAGTCATTGTAGCTCAATACATTTTGTAAAATTTACAGAAAGTCATCCATTTTAGAAAAATATAATTTGTTCAATCTTTCACGTTCCCAGTACTTTTTTAACTGATTCACGTGATATTCGAAATTGAGAAAAAAAACATTTACAAATATAACCCCCCCCCACCCTAAATAACAATATAACTTGCATTTATTTCTAGAATCTTCATGAACCCAAACTTATTTGATTAGAAGAGAGAACCTGATCTGAAACATGGCCTGGCTATATGGAATTATGAACAGTTCACACATCTGAGAGGGCTGTAACCCAACTGCAAGATTGCATACACTCTTTCATTAGTAAGCCCCATATACTAAGCATTGAAATGTTCTGAAACCACGAATCTTTTATCATACAACTAGTCCTCGGTGTATACATAGCAGTTGATGCATATAAATATGGCTCAATGTGCATGAAAATATAAGTTCTATGTGATCTACACAGAACTCTTAAACTCACCACGTCCAACAGCCACAGCTATTCAAACTACACAATAAAATACTGCAAAACAGGCCACCATATAGGAAGAGGAAATCCCTGCTTCCAAACCGATCATAAGACAGCCTGGAATGGAGTTGATCTTTTCTCATTAAACTACAGGTTAAAATATAGTTTTAAACATTCCCTGCATCGTATAGTTTTAATGTTAAATAGGTATGAAATGTGATATTTGTAGCATGTTGAGGACACAGGTTATATTCTACGTAGTATATTTATTACATAAGCTCATTTTCAAATTATGTCATTATAGAATATTTCCGGAAAAAAGTTGTCTTTGGGAGCATTGCCTGAAATCTGTAATCAACTTATGTTATTGAAACAAAAGTTGTTGTTTTGTATCTGGAAACTTGTAGCTTATGATTATTTTTCAAAAAAATACTTTTTTCGTTTAGCTGTTAACCAATCTATTGTGGGCATGTTTGGCAAATGGCTGTTAGCTGTTGTTGTTAGCTGGTTGTGTCAGCTGTTTCCTAACAGCTGGTTGTGTTAGCTGTTTTGACCGGCTGGTTATGTTAGCTGGTTATAGATAACTGTTTGGTAAAATTGGTTGTTTCAAAATGGCTGATAGAGTGTAAATTGAACCAGCCAAATGAAGAAGCTGCTCCCCTTAGCTTCTTCAACAATCCATTTTTTCAGCTTTTCAAACTCAACAAGCTAATTTTAAAAGCCATTTACCAAACATCATTATTAGCTTCTTTGACCAATCAAACAGCAGAAATGGGTCAAACAAGCTAAAAGATGGCTGATAAGCCATTTGCCAAACATACCCTGTATCTTGAAAAAGCTATTTCTGTGCACCTAAATAAAACTAATTACTTCAAAACAACTTTTCACCTAACTTTTCCCAAATCGAAACTGATTCTCTTTATAATTGATTATAACAATAATGGATTATTGAAAGGTCTGTTTAACTGGTTTTCCCAAACTCACTTTTTAATTACTTTATAAATGAAATTAATCTAATGTGGCAGAAATTAGACCTAGTGTGACCGATTTCAGGTTAGACATAGAAATGAAATCTCATACTCTGTATTTACTATGAACAAAAATGTATTTTTTTTATCTGGAAAGTCAAATTTTGTGTAACATAATTGTATTAGATTTCAGGTTTGCAGTTTATCAGTGAAAGAAAAAGGAAAAGATGAAAGTAAAATGGTAACTAAATTGTGAAGTTTGCTAGAGTAATAATAAACTAAAATTAATCGCAACAGCCAAAAAACTGACAAGAATCTGTAAAAAAACTATGTACTAGGAAAGTATTCCTTTCCAAAAAAAAACTGTTTGCTAATGACTACGGCCATGATTCAAAAGGCCCCCTCAATGTGTGATTAAAGATAAGCTCCCAAGTTCATATTTATAGCTTTACCCTTTCGAAATGTACATATTTTCTTTGAAAAAAGGAAAGGATTAAAAAGCACTATTATATAATATAAACGTTTTATTAATCAAGTTTTTCTTTGACAAATATATTCCTCCATCAAGACTTGAATTATAAGAGAGTGTTCTGTCTATTGTCTGCACTAAATTCGGTAACTGTGTTGTGAGTAACATAAAATATCAGGAAACTTTCTAAGGTAATGAAGTTATAGTATATTCTCTATTTTCAATATCAACTGTACAAGGTAACTCTTATACCCAAAAAGAATTGTTCACTAAACTACTCTATGCCATCTCTATCTGTGTTCTATGATAATGATCAAATTGAGCTAGAGATGATGTCAAGGAAAGTAGCCTCGGGACAGGGTATTGTGAGTCCTCCCATTGGATGATCGAACCCGAATTCTTCTTCAGCTTGACTGAGCAAATCTTGGAATAAAGAGTCATTCAAGTATGATATCGGAAGGACAAAGCGCTTCTTTTCACCCTCACCAACATAAACTGCAAAGTGACCCTTAGGAACCTCACTTTCTTTGTGAGTTCTTGAAGATGACCTCCTGAGGCTGGGCTTAGTAGCACGGAGGATTCTTGTCATACTAATTGCCATGGTTGAATGTTTCTTATCTGTGGAAAACTAAATGGAGATAGATTCTTTAAGGAGTTGTGTGAAGAAGGTATTATGAGTTGAGGAGAATGCCAAACTTAGTAGTGCTTATATAGATAGATCCATTGGGAGGTTGATTGAGTGAGTGGCTGAAAGATATCTACGTGGAAATCCTGCCAGCCTTCCAAGATAAGATACATCAACAACTGGTTTTATCAAATTAATACGGAGTACAAGAAGATGGCTTGTCTTTACACAGCATTCCCTACATGCTTTAATCAATCTGCAGTAGATGGGTTCTTGCTTACTCGATGATTCAATAAATCTTAAACAGATGGGGATATCCTAACCACTAATGTCTTTACAAGAAAGCCTACCTATTAATTTGGACCCCTAAATTATGAGGAAGCAGACCATGTGATTTCACATTGTATGGTTGTAGTGTATGAAAAACTCCACATTCCATAGGTTCATGATGCATGGTGAAAGGCCCAAACAGCTAGCTTTGAGGTTGGTATGACTGAGACATTAACACATGGTATTGTCTTTAAGCATTATTCCCTTACATTGTTCAGTGATATTGAATAAATAGTAATAGCTCAAGTAGTAGGAGACATGTCAAATGTGTGGCGAAGATGAATTGTTATTTCCCAGGAAAATATATGAATTGATTAAGAAACATACCTTGTGGTTCCTAATTTTTTTGTTCCTGGAAAAGGCCACACTTTTCTGATTGGCTAAGTGGCCCAATATGTCTAGTTTGCACATGGGTTTGCCTTCCCTGATTTCACAACAAATAAAAGTTTGTCCTAGCCTCCTAAACTGTTAAATAGATCACTTCCTTCCGCAATCTGGTCATCAAGCACTGCCATTCAGCCCAGTCAAAATATGTGCATTGTTCGGTTGTTCCTGCTGATTTTGCTCAATACCATATCAGTTCGAAGAAGTTTGTTGCTTTTGAATGAACAGGATAGCATTTCCAGGACCAGAGCTATAATGGAGAATTTGGCTATCTGATTGAGTTTTTCCGAAAAATAAAAGCATTGCTCGTCTCAGTTACTTCATTCTGGTGTCCATCTTCATAATGTTTGTCTTCATTTTATTAACATTTGAATAGTGCAGGGGGGTTACTAAGTCATTTCAGAGAGCTATTACTGCATTCCCTGTGAAGAGTCCATGAAGGCAGGAAGTTCATCTAATTAAATGAGGCTTGATGATTGTAATTATACTCGGGGGTGGTGGGGAATCAAGCAGAGAAGCTCAAGAAAAGCAGAGAATCTTCCTCTTTCTTCTTCCATATAATTGGCTCGGGGACTGCCCTCAAGAGACTTGGATTGGATAGTTCACAAGAAATTAGAAATTTTGTTTCATTCGGGATCATGGAGACTTTTAAAGATTCAAGCTTTTGGATCAATATCAGTGATACTCCATCCGATGTAGATATGGTCTGACTTCATGAAAAACTCAATAATGGGGGCATAGCTGACAACATAGATGATTTATTCATTCACTGGGCAGCAACTGTAGAGTCAAATTTGGTAAAAACATGGTCAGGAACAATATTGCAGGAGTAAAGGCAGTTTTCTACATTTGGTAATGGAAGGATCGCTTTCGGCTCTTCTAGGAACTTGGTAAGAAACTGTAAAGATCTGAAAATAAGCTCTCAACAGATGATAGTATCATTATCATCTTTGCCACACCTACTGTTGAGTCTGGTGAAACTACTAAAAAGAACTGGAGGTACTTTTCTGCATTGTATACTTTTACCTTCAGGTGGGTATCATTTTACTTTTTGGGACACAAGGAGCTCATAAAAACTCATGTTATCGCAAACTAGGGAAAATGATATTAACTTTTACAAAGGTTCTTGATAGCATGATGTTTCTGTTGCAAGGAGATAGTGGTGGAATCAAGAACAATAGGACGGAACTGTAATTGCTGATGGAGAAAATCCAAATTGAGTAATGGAGAAATTCCCAATTGAGCAATTAGCTAATCGCTAATGGAGATCTAAATACAGCTTAAATGCAAAAACAAGGGCTGATTGGATGATCAAATCCCACATTATTTATTGCTCAGCAAATCTCTGAAGGGAGGGTCCTTCAAGTATGATGTTAGAACAATATAATGATGCAGAAACTAAGGCTGCTATAAAGGATGCTCTTGACTGGGGTGTACACAATTTTCAACTACGGATGTCATGAAGCTTTAGCTAGTTACATCAAAGGAAATATGCACAAATCTAATACTTGAAATTCATATTTTCTTAAGTAATCTTCCTAAAGGTGTAATGACTTATCCATACCTTTCATATTCTCCTTGAAAATCTGTTTAACCAATAAACTGTTGCAAATTTTATTCACGTAACTAGAAAGTAATATTCTGCCACCATTATTTATAGCCAGGTACCAAGAATTAGCATGGAACATATTCCATCACTGTAGCATAAGATAGTAGTTCAAACTCATTAATTGATGTATATTTAAAACATATTGTAATAAGTTTTTGTTTTAAGGTAAAACCAAACCAAATTGTTTTCATCTGGCATATTGTACTCATTCCTTCAAGTTTTTCACATTTCAACTTTCAAACATAGCCTTTGTGTTTCTATGAAGAAGGACAAGTTCTACAAATATATATACACATACACAATCTGAAGTCTGAACTACATCTTAGTGCCATACCACCATAAGATGAATTATTTAGAAAAAGAACACAATTTCTTGTCCTAAAATGATCGTCCCCTTTTCTGCCTGCTGTTCATATTTATATTTTTACAAGAGTATCTTAGTTCAGGTAAGCTTGAATTCAGGTAAGCTTGAATTCAGGTAAGCTTGAATTCAGGTAAGCTTGAATGTGGACAAGAGTATCTTAGTTCATATTTATATTTTTACAAGAGTATCTTAGTCCCATATGTGTTACTATCATATTTCAGGTAAGCTTGAAATCTCATATTTACTGTGCAAAAAATGTAAATTCTTTTACATGGAAAGTCAAATTTTGTGTAGGGTAATTGTATTGGATTTCAGGTTAGTAGTTTATCAGTGTCAGAAAAAGGAAAAGATTTACACAAAATGGTAACTAAATTGTGAAGTATACTATACAGTAATAATAAACTAATATTAATTGCAACAGCCAAAAAACAGACACGAATCTGTTAAAAATACTGTGTGCTAGGAAAGTATTCCTATCTAAAATATCTGTTTGCTAATGACTAATTGACTACTCTAAGTTGTGTTTCCACCTTGTCTATAGATCAATTTGAGCTAGCTTGAATGATTTCAAGAAAAGTAGCCTCCGGACAAGGTATTGTGAGTCCTCCCATTGGATGATCAAATCCGAATTCTTCCTCAGCCTGACTAAGCAAGTCTTGGAATGAAGAGTCCTTCAAGTATGATATAGGAAGAACAAACCGCTTCTTTTCACCCTCACCAACATAAACTGCAAAGTGACCCTTAGGAACCTTGCTCTCTCTGTTTGTTCTTGAAGAATTCCTGAGGCTTGGCTTACTAGCACGCAGAATTTTCGCCATACTAATCGCCATGCTTGAATGTTTCTTGATTTTTTTAGCCAGAGGAAACTATTTGCGGATGCACACACTTTTAGGAGTTGTTTGAAGGTGAAATATTGAGTTGGGAAAATACCTAATAACATTGATGTTATATAGATCCACTGGTGGGAGGAGGATTGAGTGCCACATGGAAGGGCTGCTAGCTTGCAAGACATCAACAAATGGTTTTGTCTACCCAAAATAATACAACAAAATGGTCTGTCTTTAGACATCACCCCCCACATGCTTCATTGAATCTTGAACAGCTGGGGATATCCTAACCACTACTTTATATTTACAATAACGCTTACCAATTAGTTTAATCCCTAGATTTTTTATTAGGAAACAAACCATGAGATTTCACATTGTATGGTTTTAGTGCATGTAAAAACTCAATATTCTTTAGGTTTCTGTTAGAAGCTAAAAGGCCCCACCAGGGCCACCACCAACCAGTAGGTGGGACATCATTTTGCCTATTTGCTCAACAGATTAAATAGATTAGTTCTATACGGTTTTTCATGACCAAGGTGGGAATATATATATCAGGAATGCACCTTGTTTACTCATAGAAGTAAATTTAACAAGTTTTGTAGCCGGTTATGCTCATAGCTTCACATATTTTTTGAGTCTTCTTGGTTCGTATATATCGAGAGTATGAGCGACGCAATTCGCTGATCATTTCACATAACTAAAATAAATACAAGAAAAACTAGCCACCATAGTTTTAATATCCTCAATTAGCAGACTGAAACTCGAATTTCCGGCCCTTCACTGGATACTTAAAATAACCTGAGAAGCGTCTGACTCATTTTCAGTGTTATCCCATCCCCGTGCCATAACCCAACTCAGCGCTTCCCTTATATGCTTAATTCTTCAGCCTCTCTCGGTAGATATTTCCCTCGCCACGGGATAGCCTCCCAGCGCAGCCTCCTCCCGTTTGTTTAACAGCAGCATATGTGTTGATCTTTATACCGCCCTCTATCGGTTTCCTCCATAGTAGATCATGGTCACCTCCACCAAACTGCAGCTTATCCTCAATCTCCTGAGCACGTCTCTAGCTAGCTAGGAAAGAGGATGCTTCGTTGACTAGGCCGCTGCATTGTTCCTCGTTCGAAGCTGAGAAAAAAGATTCGACCCACACTAAGAATTAGGCATTCACACCCAGATTTCTCTCCAGTGAAATATGTTCCACACTTCCCGTGCAAGCCGACTCCTGCAAAAAAGATGCTCAACCGTTTCCTTTTCATCTTCGCACCAGCAACACGAAGGAATCACATCCACCTGCCTTTTTTTCAGTTTATCTTTCGTAGGTAAACAACCCCCGCAAAGCTGTCAGAAGAAGCACTTAACTTTTGGAGGGATGAGGAAGTTCCAAAGACGCTCATCCCATCCAACCAGCATTACCCAACTCCCCCACCAGAGCCCGATAACAGCTCCTAACCAAATACACTCCAGATGCCTCGCACGCCCAATACATCTTATCTGTTACCCTCCGGTTGCTCAAAGGGATCCTATAGACCAGCTCTTGATCTTCCTCCAGAAGGATGTCAGACAATATCCATTTCCTCCCTCATTCCACAAACAACTAACAGCCCCTCCACCCTCAAGTTCTCCAAACCTTACCATACCTCTGTTCTAACCAAAGGATTCTCACCCGGTAGCCACGGGTCCTTCCAGTCATCAATAGTTGCATCTCCCACCCTCCATCTGTACCCCCGCTGAATTATTTGCAATAACTTGTTTAACGTCATTTTGTTTTTACCCAAAATTCACTGCTCGTCTTCTTTCTATTCCAAAAGATCTAACATATAAGCCCATATATTGTGATAAGGGTAGGTATGCGATAAGGATATATAGTCTACTTTTAGAAAAGTGTGAAAGTAATGTGTCTACAAACATTTTCCGGTCTTTGAAATATCAGATAATCATTCTTATAATCACTGCTCAAAGATTGTATAAGGCCTACATATAGCTAAAACTAAGGATAACAACACAAAGTGAGCGAAGCCCAATACACCGAGGGTAAGGGTTTGGACACTGTCACATAGCCACTTACACTCTTACTCATCCTATTGAAAAATCTTCATTGTTCAAACATTTTTAGGGGGGTGGATTGAGACATTACCACACATTTAAGAATAATTGGAATTCTCAGTATTCTCAATGCTACATTACAAGTGCACACCCTCTTGCAGACTTGCAGTGTATGCATAGTTTGATAATCATAGAAATCTTCATACCTTTCCTTAATCTGAGCACCAAATTAATCATAGTTTGATCATGAATATATTAGCTCAGGATAAAGTGATAATTACATAGAGCTTAATTTACTATGTTCAACAAAAGCTGTATGTTAGCATGTGAATATTTTAACAGTTATGATTAGAAGAAAATTCATATTTCAAAACCTTAACCACATTACAGGAACTTGCATGCAGTTTCTCAGAACTTGTGTGTCCTATTCTGATCAAGAAGTGATATAAAAATATAAAACATATCTTTAGATTTGAATAAGAGAACGCATCGTAATTATAGCAAATTTTAACCACAAAACTCAACTGCTGGTAGAGTATCTCAGGCCCTACTATTCAAACTGAGGATGATGTCAAGAACCTCACTTTTTCTATTTGTTCTTGAAGAACACTTTCTGAGTCCCTTTTTAGCATGGATAATGTGCCTCATACCAATTCCCATGTCAAACGAACCTTCTTAAAGTAGAGGGAGTACCAAACAAATAGAGAGAGAGAAAATGTGATTTCTGAATAACTTTCCATAAGACATTTATTTACTGTAACAGAAACAGCACAGACATGACTTAAAACATCCCCTCCATGTATGATTTAAGGTAAGGTCCGAAATTTATATATATAGCTTAGCAACACAAGTGTACAGTTTTTCTTTGAAAATGGGAAAGGATTAAAGAGCATTATTATATAATATATACTAGTAAAAGTTTTATCAATCAAGTTTATCTTTGACGAATATATTCCTCCCTCAAAATTTGACTTACAAGAGAGTACTTCATCTATTGTCTGAACTAACTTCTGTTACTGTGTTGTGAGTAGCATGACAAATCAGAAAAACCTCCAAAGTATTATAGTATAATCTCTATATCAACTGTACAGGGTAACTCATATACACAAAAAGAATTGTTGACTAAACTACGCTAAGTCATCTCTATCTGTATTCTATGATGATAATCAATTCGAGCTAGAGATGATGTCAAGGAAAGTAGCCTCGGGACAGGGTATTGTGAGTCCTCCCATTGGATGATCAAATCCGAACTCTTCCTCAGCTTGACTGAGCAAATCTTGGAATAAAGTGTCATTCAAGTATGATATCGGAAGGACAAAACGCTTCTTTTCACCCTCACCAACATAAACTGCAAAGTGACCCTTAGGAACCTCACTTTCTTTGTGAGTTCTTGAAGATGACCTCCTGAGGCTGGGTTTAGTAGCACGCAGAATTTTTGTCATACTAATAGCCATGGTTGAATGTTTCTTTGTTTCTTTAGCTGTGGAAAACTCTATGTCGATAAATTCTTTAAGGAGTTTTGTGAAGAAGAAGGTATTATGAGTTGGGGAGAATACCAAACTCAGTAGTGCTTATATAGATAGATCCAATGGGAGATTGATTGAGTGAGTGGCTGAAAGATATCTACGTGGAAATCCTGCCAGCCTTCCAAGATAAGAAACGTCAACAACTGGTTTTATCTTCCCAAAAAAATCAAATTAGTACAAGAAGATGGCAGATAGGGTCTTCTTTACCGGATGATTCAATAAATCTTGAACAGATGGGGATATCCTAACCACTTATGTCTTTACAAGAAAGCCTACTAATTAGTTTGAATCCCTAGATTATTAAAAACAAACCATGTGATTTCACTTTTGTGGTTGTAGTGTATCGAAAAACTCCAGATTCCATAGGTTCATGATGGATGGTGAAAGGCTCCACCAAACAGCTAGCTGTGAGGTTGGTATGACTGAGATATTACCACATGGTATTGTCTTTAAGCATCATTCCCTATATGGTTCAGTGAAATTGAACCGATGGTGATAGCTCAACTAGTAGAAGACCTGTCACATGTGTGAGGAAGATGAATGGTAATATCCCAGGAAAATATATCAATTTGTAAGGAAACATACCTTGTGATTCCTAATTTTATGTCCCTGGAGAAGGCCACACTTCAGATCATATGTTTTTTCTGAATGGCTGAGTGGCCCCATATGTCTAGCTTGCACATGGTTTTGCCCTCCTTATTTGCACATGGTTTTGCCCTCCTTATTTCCTGCGTGTAGTTTCTGCTCGTCCTAAAGAGTTAAATAGATCAATTCCAAGAAGATGGCAGAAGTTTGCCGTTCTGAATGAACGGGATAGCATGTCCAGGACTAGAGCTATAATGGGGCATTTGACTATCTCATTGAATTTGGCAGACAGGCGCATTGCTCGTCTCAGATCTTCATTCTGGTTTCGGTCTTCGTAATGTTTGTTTTTTCATTTTATTCGCATATGAATAGTGCAGGGGGGTTACTCAGCCATTTAAGAGATCACTTACTGCTCTACATTGGAAGAATCCATGAAGACAGAAAGCAGGGAAGCAGGGAATCTTCCTCTTTCTTCTTCTACGGAGTATATGATTGGCCCGGGGACTTGGGCTCAATGCTCATAGTTATACTCAGGGGGGGGGGGGGGTAAAACGTACAAGCTCCAGAGAAGCTGGGAATCTTCCTCTTCCTTCTTCTATATGATTGGCTCAGGGGCTGCCCTCGAGAGAATTTGATGATTCACAAGAAAGCACAAAGCTTTGTTTTTTTCAGCATCATGAGGCTAAAAGGTTTTATCTTTTGAATCACTGCCGGTGATAAGCTATCACATGTTGATATAGGTTGACTTTAACTGTTCTAAATGGAAACCTCACTTATGGGTGATATACTAATTCATTGGGCAGCCACTGTAGAAGCCACTGTAGAATCAAATCTGCTAAAAGCATGGTCAACAATATTGCAGGAGTTAAAGGCAGACTATGGAAGGTTCTCTTTCAGCTCTTCTAGAAACTTGGTGAGAAACAGTAAAGGATTGAGATATAAGATCTCAACAGGTTATAGTAATCATTATCATCATGTGGGTACTGGGTATCATAGTTCTTTTTGGGACACAAGGAGTTCTTGAAAAACTAATGTTATCCCAGAGTTGGGAAAGTGAGATTATCTCTTACATGAGTTCTTAATGGTTTGATGCTTCCGTTGCTAGCTAGATTGTTATGAAAATTACAAGCAATATGAAGCAACACTGTGGACTGATCACATGAATGCTATATATATATTGTGTGAAGGGTCCATCCTATTTCTCAGGTGTGGAGGCATTAGGGCTTCTTTGCGACTCCAGAAACAGTATCCAGAACGGAGGGTCCTTCAAATCATAATAGGAATTTTGATAGTAATACCCTCTTTTAAAGCACATATTATCAAAATGCCTCTTTTCTGTTTTAAATAAAAGAAACTTGTGAAATTACAAAATTACAAACTTCGAACTCTTCGTCCAAAGATACGAACGCAGCCCCGGCACCCACACAACTCTCTTTACGGACAAATTTTTAAAATACCCCTAAAATAGATTTTTTTTTATCAAAGTGCCCTCATAAGGTTTGTTATTATTAGGGGTATCCTTCACAAATCAAACATTTTCTTCTCTTCCGATGGATGCCCTCCTAGGGTATATTCTCCTTCTGCGTTCGAACGAACTTCATTGGACACGTTCAAACCTTTCCCTTTGAGTTCAAATGTAACTCACCAATCATCAGCATCTTCTTTTTTAGCATCTCCTTTGCAGGCACTCTCCCTTCCAAGTAAGTTAAAGTATCTTTAACTATTTATTTCAAGAAATCCACTTAGTATAAAAACCTTTGTTGACAATAATGGATAACTCTTAACCTGGTTTTTTGAAAATAATCTATGACCACTGTACTTGTGCGCCTTAGATGGGCATATTTGATAGGTTCTACCATGGTTGACTGGGTTTGACCAAGTATGACCATGTTTGAACATTCTCATAGGTTTTCACTTAGGCTGCTTCTTAGTTGGCCATGTTTGGTAGGTTCGATCATGGTTTGACTGTGTTTTAACATTTTTGTCAAGTTTGACAATTAGTTTGACTATGTTTAATAATTTCATATTCTTTACATTCACAGATGGCTACATGTTCGACCCAGTTGATATACGTTGTTTATGATGGGGAATGGAAAAAACATGAGAATGGAGACTACACGTTTGAAGGAGATAAAAAAAATTGCTGCTTTCGATTGGGATGCATCCAATACGGACTTTGATTCATTTTTGGAATGTTTGTATGAGGAAACTGGTTATAAAAAGGGCACTCATTTGTTGAAAGTCTCATTTCAAATGCCACGGTTTGGCAAAACTATTTTACCTTATACATTGGATAGTAGAAAAGCACTTTCTGTATATCTTAGAGACAAAGAAAGGGATTCTACAGTGCTAAATGTTGAGGTGAGTGAAATAAAATCTGAAGGGAATGTGGAAGACTTAACAACAGATGGTGTGTTGAAATGTTGTGAGAGTGATGAAATTGGTTTTAAAGATGCTTATTTTCAATGCAATATTATAGTTGAACAAGATTGTGGTGAATTTGAAGAGAATGCACTGCTTACTCAAAAGTTTAGCGTACCTTCCCACGAACTTCCTACTCATGACTGTGGTCTTACTCCTACAACAGAATGTGATGTCCCGAATAATGTTGCAGATTCTACAATGGAGGATATAAGTGTGCCGGTATATCCTCTGGAGATTGATGTTGGGGCTGATGGAACTTTTGATGATGGCTCTGATTTGTTCATTGGATTTGAGTTTGATAGTAGGGAGGACTTAAAGAAGAAGTTGAGAGAAGTTGCTATGAATGGGAATTTTGAAACCACAACTGTGAATAGTGATAAATTGAGATATGTACTAAAATGCAAAGGAGATAATTGTAAGTGGAAGTTCCGAGCAACAGTGGTAAAAAACTCTCAAAGGTTCACCATCAGAAAATATATCAAGAAGCACAATTGTTCAGTTGGCGGCCGCAACCGCACACACAGTCAAACAACTTCAAGATATGTTGGTGAAACAGTGTTGTCAGAACTTGGAGGTTCAGAGGAGATCATTAGACCCAAATCTATAATGACTCTCATGCAAAATAAGGGTAGGCCAATAACATACACCAAGGCTTGGTTGGGTAGAAAATATGCAAACGAAGCACTTTATGGGTCTCCAAATAACAGTTACAAACAACTTCCTTCATATTTGCATATGTTAAAGAGTGCAAATAATGGCAAAGTTACAACACACCTTGAGGTTCAAAATGGATGCTTTAAGTATGTGTTTGTTGCATTTCATGCTTGCATTTCAGGTTTTCAAGCATTGAGGAAAGTTATTTCCATTGATGGCACATTCTTAAAGACGTCATACAAGGGTGTTTTACTCATCGCCACAGCAGAAGATGGTGACTTTCATCAATACCCTATAGCTTGGGCTATTGTGGATAGTGAAAATAATGACTCTTACACTTGGTTTTTTGGGCATTTAAGAAAGCTCATTGATGATTCTTCAGAGTTGGTATTCATTTCAGATCGACACGCGAGCATTTCTAACGGGCTTAGAAAGCACTATGTTATTGCGGATCATGGGCATTGTAAGTTTCATATCACACAGAATCTCAAAGCTTATGTCCAAAAAGATGACGGTGCCACAAAGTTGTTTGATAAACTAACGAATGCTTATACACAACGGTCTTTTTATAGGTTGTATGAAGAATTCAGAAGTAGGTTTGAAGGAGGTGCTAATTATATTGATGGGATTGAGAAGTGCAAATGGGCAAGAGCTATCTTCCATGTTAACCATTATAACATTATGACAACAAATGGGGTTGAAAGTATGAATAATGTCTTGAAGCGTGAGAGAGGTCTTTCCATTGTTGCATTGTTAAAAGCAGTACAATCAAAAGTTGCTGAGTGGCGAGGTAAGAGAGTAGCCGAGTTGAAGACACTCGAGAACTCAACTAGCCCACTCACCGCCAAGGCGGAGGCTATTGTTCGAAAACGATACCATAGGGCTTTGAATTTGGAGTCATTGCAACTAGGATTGTATGAATTTCATGTTAAGGGAACAAAGTCTGATCATGTGGTAAACTTGAGAGATAAAACATGCACTTGTCATGTATTCGATTTAGACAAACTTCCTTGTTTACACGCGCTAGCATGCTTCCATAAAACGGATATCGACTTGTATGACCTATGCGATCGTAAGTACACGCGGGACCTTATGTATGTTGCGTATGCTGAAACCATTTATCCTGTCACAAGAGAAGAAGAATGTGAAGCCAATGATGAAGTCCAATTGGAAATTCATCCACCTATAATTTCTAGGAAGAGAGGAAGGCCTACGATGAAAAGATTTCCATCCGTGGGTGAGCGTAGGAAGAAATGGAAATTGACGTGTTCGGGGTGCAAAAAGAAAGGACATACCTTAAGAACTTGTAAAGATAAGTTGCCTACTATCAAAATAGTAAATGAT